ATGATTCTGAGACCCACAATTATCAAAGATTTCCATATGTTTAACTCCACTTACTTCCAAATAGATGAGGAAATGAACTAACCCATTTTAGGAAGACTTTTCGGTATTAAAGGTTAAAATGAGAAGGGTTTTCTGGTGAACTCTTTTAAATAAAATGTTGTATATTCATTCATTCTTTGGAGGTTTTTTGTATTTGAATTAGGAGGCAAAAACATAAGAATTCCTTACTCATGGAGTAAGTGCTCTGATATTCTCCAGTGCTTCTCAAGTGCGGAGCTCCTCCTATGGTATAGAGTTGGTTCCATTATTTTAGAGCCACAGACCTAGAAGATCCTCTACAGGATCTTAAAAATACCTACCAGGTAAATGATGTAAAATACTCATCCATCATGATCATTATACCTCTTACCCATCTAGACAGCCAGCTACTGAGTTTTTGTCATAGGAAAAAATTACCTTCACATATTTTAATGTCTAGCTCTATGATTCTATATAAACTAGTTTTGTGTTGACCAAGTGATGAGAATATTGGTCTAGAAATTAAGGAACAAAATTCTTACATGGATCTATGAGAAACTGACTAAAATATATAATCTGTCTGGGCCTTATTTTCCCATCTGCAAAATAGAAAAGAGACAAGCACACCTGACCTTTTTTAAAATGTAAGATGAAAAACTGTTTTGGAACTTTTTTCCATTGTTACCATATTCACTAGGGACACTGTATATTTTTTGAAGTTTCCCTTATAAATGTAGAACTCTAAACTAACAAAAGCAAAAAATAAAAGTGAATTACCAGCCACAGTAGCTGTACAACTTTGTGGCTGCAAAGAAAGAACTATTCTTTCTCCTTTACTTCTTTATTATAAATAGTAAAACTTCACCCACAAAATCTTCCTGGACTTCAATTTCCTCATCTATATAGAGGAAGACTTAGAATCAGAAGATAATCATGAAGGTCTGTGCAGTACAAATAGTCTGTGATTCTATATGATAAATTAGTGTCAGATCCCTGACATTAAGATTGCTATGAGTTAGTGACCTAGAATTCTGCTTCCAGATTTAACTGAACAGTTGTATGTAACTGAACAATATCTTTGTGCCTTCATTTTTCCACATGCCCCTTCCTAAAATCATAAAAAGAATAAGTCAATTCATGTGAAGCACTTGGCATTCTATATAGGAAAGATTATATAACTATATAACACTATCTAAATCAGTGTTAATTAATGTCTTCCTATATGATCTGTCACAATTTCTTCTTTATTGTCACCTGGGTTCTCATCTCTGCAACTTAACTGCTTGTTCTGAAATCACCATAAATAATTTATTGAGCACTTAAACACAGAAGGCATGATTTTAGGCAGGCCCTAAATAATAAGATGCCTTTTTAGATGCATGACCATATATATCCCCATTTTCAACATATCTTCTTATTCCAAGATATCTTCTTTCCTTTGTCCCTTCCTCCACCTTTTCTCTCTTCTTTTTGCTTTACTTTCATTCTTAATAAACACATTCCTCTCTGCTCTGCTAATTTACTTCATCAATCTTTTCTCTTGAAATTTCTTACTATACTATAAAAAGAGTCAATTGCCCATCCTATGAACCATCCGGGAATGTCACTGAAGCAGCATATTTCTCTAGAGAGTAAAATGTACTATACAGCAGGTGTGTGTGTTGGATACTATTCAAGGCAGGGGTTAGCTGTTAAATACCTAAAAAGACTTTGTAATACAGAGTATATTACCCCTGCAGGTACTCAAAACTGAATTTACCAAGATTTCCCATAAGTATATTTTCATCAAAGATGACCATTAGTATAGTACCTGAGAGGATTTAATACACAGATTATTCAATTGATAAAATATTTCAATCAAAATGTAAATGGGACAAAGCCATGCACATCAGTTGTTCTTCATTAGTG